GATTGTAAAGTTGTACTCTTTCTTTTAACTTACCTTCGGATGTTTAGTCATGTTTATTTTGTGCTGAAACTGGTATTAATGTGGAGGACATCAGGTCACGTGCGCCTCGCGCTGCCGCGTCTGTTGAACTGAGGCGCTACAGATATCTGTCACTTCACATTAAACAGCACCAAAACTGCATTTATTGTTTAAACACTGCAATACAATGGACAGAATTTGAAATCTGAGACTTTGTTTCATATTAAAAATACCAAAGCAAAATGCTTATTGCGATTTATTGGATGAGAAGTGCCCTTCAATGTTCTGTCCATTAACTGAAAACAGGCTAGACTAATCGATTCTTGGAATTTAAGAATCGATATCGTTCCGTAAAAATGAGAATCGATTAAAATCGAGATATCTATATTTTTTTTACCCAACCCTAATGGTTATTACACAATTTATATTGCAATTTATATACAAACATAAGTATTTATTCAAAGGCTTTAACATCAGAATGTTTTTTTTTTTAGAAACAGAAGAGCATAAAGTTTTTGAAAACGTATAAAAGTACTTGTGTCATGTTTGCCTGAGTGGCTTGTTCGTTTTGAAGGTGTTGCAGAGTCTCCTCTGATGACGTGGGGTGAGATTGAAAGCACTCCGTTTCGCCTGGATGGCTCGGATACGCCACTTGTGGAGAGAAGTCACGGTCCATCGTTCAAGGTCCAGTTCATTTCTGATTAGAATGTCACTGTTTTTTTCACTTGCATATATAAAAAGAATATTTGAGTTTTATTGATACCCAATTTTATATAATCAGAAAAAAATCAATGTGTGTTAGATGGCAGTGTGCACTGTTACATTTAATTTGAATAAATATTTGAATAAAAATAACGAATTGTTGTTTTTATGGATGTTTTCCAGATTCCAGAGCCTGGGAGAAGAGAGCGGTTGGGACTGAAAATGGCCAATGAGGCTGCGGCAAAAAACAGAGCTAAGAAACAGGAGGCGCTGCGCAAAGTCACTGAAAACCTCGCAAGGTAAAGAAAAGAAGTCTGAAATTGTAAAATATGTTTGTATTTCACACTTTTTTTGTCTAGGTTAAACAACATTTTTTATTATTTGTAATTAAAAATGCTGATTAGACTAGAGAAAATGGAAAATTTACGTATTTTAATTTTATTATCAGGATAACAATTTAAGTGAAAAGTTGAATTGTAAAATTAACATGATTTTTCATATGTCTTATTATTTGGGTCATCCTCCATTTATTGACGATCAACCACAAAATATATTAATATGTTAATGTCTTACATATTTTGTATCATTTCAAACCTTAATTTTCTATATTTTATTTTCAGAATTCCAAAACTTTATTTGAACATTTAAATTAGATCCCAGATTTTCAGTGTGGTTTCAGATTAGTGGTTGACCGATATATTGGCAAGCCAATTATTTTGGTTGTCATTTGGCAGTTTTTAATTTTCGGCATTGGCCATTACGTTTTTGTGTTTTATTTTGACAATGCATGGGACTTTTATTTTGACAGTGTTGAGATCGTCACCTCAGGTGCGAGTGATTACTATTTGCACTAGTGGCTTCAGTAATTACTTGCTTTTTCTTTTTTTATTTGTAAAAATATCGGTCAACCACTATTTCAGACTTTGGACACGGACACTGTATTTTTACTATAAATAAGTGTTTCAGTATAAAGCGTTTCAGCGGGGGACAGTGAAAACGGCCATGTAAACTTAAAAAAGAGAAACTATGGCCAAAAGATCCCCCTTTATTTTCAAAGTGATATTCAAAACTGCATTTATGATGTGTACTAAATTATTCTTTATATGTATTGCAGCCTCACTCCGAAGGGACTGAGTCCCGCAGCGCTGTCTCCTGCCCTTCAGCGTCTAGTAAACAGATCATCCAGCAAATACACAGATAAAGCCCTGAGGGCGAGCTATACCCCGTCACCTGCGCACAGGGGCATGGGCTCTAAGACTCCTCTCGGAGGTCCAGCCACTTCCTCCATCACACCAACTCCCGGAAAAACCAGAACACCAGCCACACAGGACCCGGCCTCCATCACAGACAACCTCCTCCAGCTGCCCAAGAGGAGGAAAGCCGCGGATTACTTCGGAATCTAAAGACCGAACAAAAACTCTAACATGGGCAGGGTCAAATTTACCACCATCATTTACCACCACATGATTCAATCAGGTGAATCACTTGGTCCATTCAGTTCTTTCCTAGTCTTGATTTGTTTTGAACAAAACTGATTCAGTCCTCCTGAAGGTTAAGGATCTTTTATGATGTTGAAGACATCTTTCAAGATCTCAGGGGCACAATAAAATGGGTTCTACAGATTTGTGTGAATTATTTCACCCTCCCATGTTTTACATGATTCACTTGTTGAATCCATCTTTAGGTTGCATATGTGCAAACACTCTTTTAGTGAACTTACACTAACACAATCTATGGTTGCAGGGTTTGACAGAAGAAAGGAAATAATGTATTTTTTGTCATTAAGACTGGACTAACACATTATATAATGCTGGGACAGACTCTCTGAATTCTTTTCTTGAAAATAAGTTTGAACATTGTTTTTTGTAATATCTGTTTTTCAGTCACATGTTGTATATGATGCAATTGTAAATAATCCATGTTGGCCAAAACAACACATAAGTGTTTCATAATTGTCTTACTGTTTAAATTTTCAGAAAAACCCATAATTGACAATTTAATGCAGGTTTCCACTGTGACAATTTACCACATATAGTGTGACAACAAGCTTTCCTCAAATTGTGTTAAATTAATTGAATAGCTTTTTTGTTGCAATATGTTACACTGAAAAAGGTGTAGGAATTACTTTGAAACCGTTTTCACTTAGAAATTGTAAGTAATATTCACATATAATTACAAAGAAACAGCAAGGAACACATTGAATTAAACATGAAATTTTGAAAAACTTGAGTAGTATTTTCTCGTAAAAATGCACTCCAGTAATCTGTGTTTTATTTACAACTTTGAACAATCTAGTGGCTAAATTGTTCATTTCATTTGTATCTTTTTTTGGGGTTGGTAAGATTTTATTTATTTTTTTGCAAGTATTTTGAAAGTCTCATGTTCACCAAGGCTGCATTTATTTGATCAAAAATACAACAAAGATAGTAATGTGCTGATTTGGTGCTCATGAAACATTTGCTATCAATGTTGAAAACATGCGCTGCTGAATTTTTTATTTTATTAAATTTTTTTGAAAACAGCGATATTGTTTTTTCATTTTTTTGTATGAATAGGAAGTTAAAAAGAACAGCATATTTTGAAGTAGAAAAGAAATGGAACATAAATGTATCTAGTTTAACTTTTGATCAATTTCATGTTGAATAAAAGTATTCATTCTTTTCTTTTCTTTTTTAATGTACTGTTCCCACACTTTTGAACAGTAGCCTATATGAATGAATATACAGGGTTTTTAGGCCTTATAGTGCTAACTATATTTCTTATCCTAGTCATGTGACTGGCTGCAATAAAACAAATGCGCTTAAAACACCTTTGCTTGCCAGAGTGTAATATTCCATGAAACATGCGTGTGAACAGTGAGACATGAAGGCAATGTCGTGCATGTATTATTATGAGGAGTTGATTAAGCGCCTCCTCCCGTCTGTGGGCTGGGGAACATGGTTGGGATTGTTTTGATGGGACGGTGGCGGAGCCATCTTGTTTTATATCCGTCCTAAGCCCGTTTACCGAGCCAGAGGAAACAGCCATGGAATATGACACTATATCCCGACCCTAGCCAACTGAAATCAACACATCCGAGTACCGAAGCTTATTTATGATCGACGGAATATACACAGCACGCGGAATCTGCTGTTCGTTGTGATTTATTTCTCCACATCGGCGGCTGCTGCTTTAACTGCATTTCCACTCGCACATTTTCTCCGGTGTAAGATACTATGAATGGAGGATAAATGTTGCCGAAGGCTGACAGCGGTGGTTTTGTGCTTCTCCTCTTCATTCTGACAATAACAGATCCGTCACGGACAGGTAAAGGTGTTGCTTTAATCAATGCATTTGCTGCAGTCTGGGCTGGTAAAGGCTTGCAGCTCTGCTTGTATTCGGTCATGAGGGGGATGAACAGGCGCTGAGCTGCAGAGGCTCTTTCGCAGGCCATTAGGGGCCTTTAACTAGCGCTATGTTATCAATTTGTTATTGCCTTGTTATATTTCTTAAGCTTTACGCTTTTATTGCGTTCCATATGGCAAGCTGTTTTAATATTCAATCCTGAAAACAACAGTATGTATTTATGTTACTAGCTTTAAGCCTTTTGTATTACATACCATGTGGCAAGTTGGCTTAACATTTATTCCTTAAAACTACATGGTATATGTTTGTGATTCATTACTTATTTACGTATTCCCTTACTTCTAGTCACTATACCAACTATCTATTCCGTTGTTACTTGTAACAAATTGCAAATTTTGCCATCTCTGGTGAACCCAATTATTTAATTCCAACTAGTGCACAAGTTATTGCTGATACCTTTTCCAGTTTTACTAGTCCTAGTATTTTATGGATATCTATTCCAGTGGTGCGCAACTGAAGTAAAAATCCCAGTCATTTTCTCAATAGGGAAACTGATTTTTTAGCGATAATTTAAAAACCTTAGCAAACCTACTGTGAGCTACGAAGTTGTTTAGTAATGGAATATGCTTTTGCTGAAGCCATCAGCCCAAATTATTTCAACTTGTTTTTTAAAAAATCAAGTTTAACAGAGGAATTCCTTGTGGAAAAACTACATGATCCATGATTCTGCAATTAAATCAGCACCAATCAGAGAAACAAATGGTGCTAAAAAAAATCACCCACTTCCATAAAGAACTGCTAATGATCAGTCTCCCTACTCTCTTTAACTACATGTACATCACCACCTAGTGGCCTGGCATGCATAATACAGCATTTTTAGTTGTTTTTTCGGGATCTGTGTTTTGACTATTTTTCCATAGGTATTAGGGCTGCACGGATGGAGATTTACCGCTGATTACAGAACCGGCTTTCTGACAAGATGCGCATTAAATATCGCATGCGATTTATCGTGCAGCCCTAATACCTATGGAAAAATAGTCAAAACACAGATCCAGAAAAAACAACTAAAAATGCTGTATTATGCATGCCAGGCCACTAGGTGGTGATGTCACTCCGTAAAGAAACACTATGCGCCTGCACGGATATGTAAACACGTAAAATGTATGCGCATGATGTCACTTTTTCACAAATTTGCATTTTTGTAGTTTACATGGAGACAGTAACAATATCAGAAACCTGTTTTCAAAAGTTTGCATTTTCAGGACCACAAAGTACCATTGTCATGTAAATGAACAGCCAAGACACATAAAAAAATCTGTTTTAGTTGAAAAAGGTGTTGTGTAAACACCCCCTAAATAAGCACTATATTAAAACTGAAATAAGTATAATTATAGTAACTATTAGAAGACTAGTTGGAAGTGAATAGTTGGTATGCTCACAGATTCCCGTACAATAAATGACAACATTTGCAAGTCGTTATAGTAGCATTGTAAATGTTACTTGTCACTGTTGGGATAGTGACTAGTAGCAATGAAACAAATATGTAATGAATGGTTGCTAGTGGAACTGAAAGATTCTAGTTGATGAAAATCTCAAATTACTGGTCACCACTGGATTTCTAGTAATGAAAAATACAATTACATTAAAATATATGCTTGTAGGTTGTAAGGAATAAATGTTTAAACAACTTGCCATACATACCAACCATTTGCAGTCAATCTAATGTTTCTGGTAGGCCACAGTTCAATACAGGAGCAGACAGATCAAGCAGAACGCTCTGGACAGGGAACATCAGAGCAGCGGCGTTCTGCTGGTGTCTGTTCTGATATTCCTCTGTTAGACGGGAGATTTATTAATCCTACTGATATAAGGTGATGCATGGAAACCCAGTGGATCAAATAAATAGGACAGTATTTAGGTTAATGGCCTGTGATGTGCTTTTCTGTGTTTAATTTCCATGGGGAAGCGAAGCCCAGGTTATGTGCACTTGTTTTGAGGGCAGGATGGGTTGGTCTGTCTCCATGTTGAATCTCATCAAATAAACCCACAGCTGGTGTTTAATCTCAGTGTGTGCTCTTGTTAAAAGTGCATAATATTACACATGATCACTGTGATGTTAACATTAAAGGAGACTTTTGCATATCTTTACTTCTGACCCAGAAGACTTTTTAATGCATAACAAACCTGAAGTGGTGCATGTGCAAAACACGTTCAAACTACTCAAAGTTGGACAGTTGACGATTATTTTCCTTTATACATACATTTTAACTTAAAATCTTAGTTTTTATCTATTTGTCAACTACCCAAATGGGTTATTGGTACTATTTTGGTGATCACTGGGCACATGGAGAAGTGTTCACCTGTTCACAATGGTCTTACTGTCTGCAGCGGTGAATGTGGTGCAGATCTGGTTCTAGTATTGCATCCATAGTAGAGAACACACTGGTCTTCTGAAGGCATCTCAGTGTTGCTGTGTTTGTTTTAGGATAACTTTAGACTCAAGGGTTGGACATGTGATTGATTGAAGGTCTGAATGTCTGGATGTCCCAAGAAGAGAAGCTCTTTTTAAAAATGTGGATTGTTTGTCTGTAGGTTGCTTCGTTTTCTCAAGAGATTGTTTAGTGGATTGGAGGATCAAGCTAATTGGGTGTTTGCTAACATCAGATAACAGAAATTATTTTATTTATAATATTACATGGCTTTTAAGTATGTATAAAATGATGCACACACACATATTGGGTTTTTGCAATTTGTGACGACCCTCCATAGACATAATGATTTTCGTATTGTACAAACTATAAAACATTCTGCGTTTTTACATTTTTACATTAAAAAAAACAACAGCATGATTTAGAAACTGTTTTGCACATGAGGACATAAATTTTGTCTCCACAATGTAAAAAAATTTCTAGGGATGCACCGAATGTTCGACAACCGAAATTATTCGGCCGAAAATAGCAAAAAAAGCTCTTTCGGTGTTCGAGCTGCAGAGGCTCTTTCGCAGGCCATTAGGGCCTTTAACTAGCGCTATGTTATCAATTTGTTATTGCCTTGTTATATTTCTTAAGCTTTACGCTTTTATTGCATTCCATATGGCAAGCTGTTTTAATATTCAATCCTGAAAACAACATAGTATCTATTTATGTTACTAGCTTTAAGCCTTTTGTATTACATACCATGTGGCAAGCTGGCTTAACATTTATTCCTTAAAACTACATGGTATATGTTTGTTATTCATTACTTATTTACGTATTCCCTTACTTCTAGTCACTATACCAACTATCTATTCCGTTGTTACTTGTAACAAATTGCAAATTTTGCCATCTCTGGTGAACCCAATTATTTAATTCCAACTAGTGCACAAGTTATTGCTGATACCTTTTCCAGTTTTACTAGTCCTAGTATTTTATGGATATCTATTCCAGTGGTGCGCAACTGAAGTAAAAATCCCAGTCATTTTCTCAATAGGGAAACTGATTTTTAGCGATAATTTAAAAACCTTAGCAAACATACTGTGAGCTACGAAGTTGTTTAGTGATGGAATATGCTTTTGCTGAAGCCATCAGCCACAGTGTTTGATTTTGTTCGGCATCGGCAACGAATTTTCATTTCGGTGCATCCCTAAAAATGTCAGTTTTTACTATCCAGCATAGGGAAAATCTGGACCGCACACACAGACATACATGGGCAAAGGTAATTAATTAAATTTAAATTAAATGTAAAAATACATTTATATCAGTAATAATGATAATGTACATGTAATATAATAAATTGTGTAATTATGTAATAAATTATATAATTTATTACATTATGATAAATCTAAATATAAAAGTAATATTATTAATAGTAGTAGTAGTAGTAGTAAATATATGTTTATTTAATATAATGAATAATATAAATGTGATAAATTATGTAATTATTAGTATTTGTTTTATACTTAATGTAATGTATATAAATCAATGATATATAGTTATTAAATAGACTTTTTGTGGTTTAATGCCAATTTTAATCTTAAGTTCTCAAGTTTTTCCTATGTGATTATTTTATACGCATTTAAAAGAATATAACGTAATATAGCATAGTATATTTATAATTTTTTGTATTTATGATTTATTTATTATTATGCTTTTTTTTCCTCAGCGTTACTAAGAATTTGTGTTTTGTCTACATCTTATTTATCCTAAAATAGGCTTTGCTTTCTTGAAGTAAAATATAATTTTACATTAGCAGGGCTCACATTTGAAAAAAAAAAAAAAGCTTTCTAAATGCAAAATAAAGAGCCTTCTGGTCACTTGAATTGACTTTTGTTTGCAATTTGTGGATGTATCAGTACTACTATCTATTGTTATTGATACCCTGCTAACCAGGAGACAGACTGTCTCTTGAGCCTTTAAGAGATTAGGTAATGTTATATAGCTGTAATCACTAAATCTCCCTCTCTCTCCTCCCCCTGCAGGTCCACGGCTCGCTCTGGCCAGACTGTTGTCAGGTAAGCTGCGATGCTTGGAATTCTTACAAATTATGTTGAGTGTTTCCTGCTGGTTCGGTTTGACACGTTGACCCTGTTTGAGTCTTATTTGGCTAAACCTGACATTGACACTGGTGTCCCTGATGACGTCGAACAGCTCTTAATCTAAATTTGGAGACTTTTCCTGTTGCATCATAAATCATGATTGTTTGTAATCACACATAATGGAGTCTGCTGCAGCTTTTCTCTTTCCAGATTAGTTTGGCTCAGTGTATTGTCTGTGTTTCAGACCTGCGCTGCAATCCTGGCCAGTTTGCCTGCCGGAGTGGAAAAATGCAGTGCATCCCTCTGTCCTGGCAGTGCGATGGATGGACGGCCTGTGAGGACAAAAGCGATGAGATAGATTGCCCTAGTAAGTAGGGTTGGGTACCGTTCACATTTTAACCGGTACCGATTGATTTAACGTGAATCGGTACTCGGTAGAACCGACGCAATTCGGTCGGTACCCTTAAAAGTACCGAATTCGGTACCCAACCCTACTAGTAAGTTCACACACACTCACATACATTCTTGTGCAATGAACTGTAAAAACACACTCATGCTTATGACTGCACGAGGAGCGCTTTCACTTCCGACTTATTGGGTTTTGTCCTGTCATTTTGCCAGTGCTTGGCAGTCACCCTGGGTTTTGGTTTGTTTTGCCCGTGTGCTGTGGTTTCTGTGTCTTAACCCCGGAGTGAGAGACGGTGCTCAGAGGCTGATTCTTGGATGGGATAACAGGAATTACAGAGCGGATTTGCTGAGCATGTGATCTGTGTCTCGTAGCTCCTTCAAGCACTGCTGATCAGAGTCACACCCCAAGCAGGATAAAATAACCCATAAATGCTGAAGATTAGTGCTTTGTATTGGTGGTGTTGCCAGATAATCAGAAAGCGGTTGTAGCCTATGTAAATGCATAGACTGGGACATTTTGGGGTTATTTGAGTGTTTGTTTATTGATCTTAATCTTGCCGGTTTTTATCAGGTGATTGGTGTTCATATCGCTTCCTCTGATTTATGATGGGCTTCGCAGTCTCGTAAACGTTTCAGTGACACTTTCAGTAGCAGGAGATAAAATGCAATACATTTTGGCAAGGTGCCATTTCATATTTCCTCTGCATCGTCCAATAGGGCTGATGTGTAGAAAATACGTTAAATGTGTGATAAGTTGAATAAAGTCATTAATTTTAACTAAAGCCATGTTACACTGTTATAAACATTTTTTTATGTTTTAATAGTGTCTCTGAAGTAAACTTCAGTTCAGTAGCAAAAATGAACTTACTTTGATTCATATTTTTAAAACAGTTCAAAGTGTAATTATAATTATATAAATTTACAGAATAAATAAAATAATATTGAAACAATAATAATAATTAATTAGTAATAATAATTTTGTTGTTTCTGTTTTGTTGTGAAAATATTTTAAAACTATAATAATTATTAGTAGTACAAGTAGTAGTAACATTTTTACTCTATTATTATATTAAAATATTAAAACAAATACAGTCCATCTCATTATTATATAAAATGAGAACTAAGAAGTTTTTTATTGTAGTATTTATTAATATTTAGAATTCGCTTTTATGTATTTTATTTTTTCATTTTATCTTTAGTTTTCATTTGAGTAATTTTATGTGCTTTTTTCATTTATATTCGTTTTTGCTTTTTGATAGTTCTTGTTATTGTTTTTGAACTATTTTAATTCTTGCATTACATGTTGTGGAGCATTTGTTCAATGGCTGTTTGTTTAAAAAAAATTACATTTTAAGCAATTTCAGAGCACGTACTCATTTATCAAGATTAGATGTCATCAAAAGTCTAAAAAAATATAATTTTTTATATCTATATTACCTGGAACTAGTGTCCGCTGATCCCTTGTCCAACCCCTGCCATGTTGACTGAAGCTGTAATCATTATTAGACAGAGAACACTGCAGGGTTACATACTCGCTGCCCTTTTCTGACATCGCTGTAATGGAGCCCATGTTCTCAGGAGGCGTTGGCACATTTCTTGACTGATCTGCAGTCTTACTTTAATTCTTGTTTGGTTGTCGGATTTAGTGCTCCTTCTCTCAGGAAATGAGGAAGAGGTTTAATAAGATTCTTATAAACTCCTTTTCATGTTAGCAGACCTGCTGCCACTCCGTTCTCTTCCGTTTGCTGTGGATTAGGGTTTTAGTGTCATGATTTCCTCGAAAACATGTTGTTTAACTTACACCGCCTACACCAGTGATACTCAACTGCTTTTGGTTCAGGGCACAGATTTTACATTGGGCAGTGTGGATAAAGTGAGGATGAGGGCGAAAATATCCGATGACCTACCCTGTAGTCATAGGCGGAAATCCCGGGGGGGGGTCGGGACTCGGGGGGGGGGACAGGACCCCCCCAACTGAGGGTTGTCCCCCCTAAAAATATGATTAAAAACCACGCTGTGCATTGTAAATAACAATGTTTTAATCAATTGTAAGTAGTAAAACAACACAAACAGGGCAAAGATGCGTTTTAAGTTTAGAAACATTTTGAGTCTCCCCCTCCCTTGCCTCACTTAGTTCCAAATGCCTGCTTTCCTCTTTTACATCACCTACACACACACAAGTCCGGTGAGAGAGAACAAAGCCAATAGTTGAGGAAGTCCAGTAAGTAAGCCTGTCGAGGCTAATTTCTTCACTTAAACATCGGATGAAGTGATTAGTTTCTCTTTAATACAGATGATGCCAATGTATTTTTCGATAAATCCGCCATGTTAGCAATAATAACGTTACCTGCTTGAGGGAAATGGTGGTGGGGGTGCTGCAGCATATACTTTTTTTTCCCCGTTTTTTTTTCTGTGGGCAACTGTTTAACTGTTGGGAATAAAAAAAAAAACGTTGGGAAAGACTATTATATTAGCTGCATCCACCAACGTGTGATCGGGCTAGTCAACATTACAAAAGACGATCACAGGTCTTCAGCTTCAGTGGTGCAGATGGTAAAACGGGTGTCAGCCACCTTTTGACGCGATCGACCCGGGTTCGAATCTGCCTTTTGGCGAACTTTTTTTTCTCCCTTTTCAAATTTCAAATCACATCGCATCAGAAAAGCATTTATTTTTTAATACAAATGAAGGAAATAATCAAAAAGTTGAAAAAGTATCGGGTAGGTGTAGGGAGGGATTTTGTCCCAATAAGGTGGCATCCATTTAATAATTTGAATTACAATTTACACTCAATAAGTTATTATTGCATACTGTTTTATAATGTATTACAATGCTGATGTGCAGAGAATTGCCACTATTGGCAATAAGTAATTAGCAGAATATCCTGCTATTTTAATATAGTATAAATAGCTATTTGCACTTAGTGTAAATAGCATCTATCGCTAAGAAAATATGCTATCCTTGTGTCCCCTTCAAATTTGAGAAATTTTATGTTTATTGTCCCCCACTACTGTTAGACGAAATTTACGCCCCTGCCTGTAGTGTCTTATTAACAACGGTGTCCTTCCAAATAAATGTGGATCATTTTCGTATATGATTTATGCTTCAGCCTAGTATATTTTGGCCTTATTAAAGAGGACATGTGTTTTGCATTCAAGGTGCTTTCTAATATTCCTTGTTTGGCTCTCTTGCAGCAATAAAGGAGGAGCGCTATCGCTACAGCAATGGCTTTGAGCCGGTGGAGGATGTCATGGGAGTCGCTCAGCCAGTGCGCTTCAACAGTAAGACCCTTCCCGATCTCTTTAAAACACTCACACTCTTCATATGCTGTGAAGATGTGCTCATATTGCATTACTATGTTTCCATTAGCAATCACATAAAACATTACAAAATTGACGGTATTAAAAAAACGGATTAATAAATCATAAATACAAATAAGAGCTTAACCTGTGCAACAGGAGGGCATATTATTATTATTATTATTACACTATTGGTAGATCACTTTATTATGTACACTACCACTCAAAAGTTTGGGGGGAAATGAATACTTTTATTTAGCAAGATTGTATTAAATTGAACAAAAGTTACAGTAAAGAAATTTTTAACATTTTCAAATGATTTTTATTTTAAAGAAATGCTGTTCTGTTGAACTTTTATTTGTCAAAGAATCCTGGAAAAAATGTATCACGGTTTCCACAAAAACATTAGGCAGCAAAACAGTTTTCAACATTGATAATAATAAGAAATGTTTCTTGAGCATTAAATCAGCATATTAGAATGATTTCTGAAGGATCATGTGACACTGAAGACTGGAGTAATGATGCTGAAATTTAAACATTTTTTCACAGGAATTAATTAATTCAGGCTTGGTGAGTATGAGAAACTCTACCCCAAACTTCTAAATTGTAGACTATATATATATTTGTATTATAGACTATATTTATATGGAATGAATATAATTGAACACAACAGTAGGGTGATGGAAGAAAGAAATTGTGTTAAAATGCCCATTATGGTTCAATTATGATATTTTAAAATGAATTTTAAAAATAACATTTAAATAATTTTGAAATTTAAATGATATTTCTATTTCTAAACACAGGGAAGTGTCCGAGCGGCTGGCACCACTATGAAAAGACAGCCAGCTGTTATAAAGTCTACCTGAGGAGCGAGAACTACTGGCAGGCGGTGGAAACCTGTCAGAAGGTCAACGGCTCCCTCGCGACGTTCGGCACCAATGAAGAGCTGCAGTTCATCCTCAAGATCGAGGTGGACTTCGACGAGAACGTGTGCGAGCGAAAGGACCAGTGCAAGTGAGTGTGTGAATCTGTTTCCTGAGGAAGAGGTGAGGTTTCACGCTTTTGAGTTCTCAACGCTGTGTCATTGCAGGTTCTGGGTGGGATATCAGTATGTGATTTCCAACCAGAATCATTCGCTCGAGGGCCGCTGGGAAGTGGCGTATAAAGGTTGGTATTAATCTCAAATTATTTTAAGGAATACAGTGAACAAAAATGAAAAAAAAAATGGAAGAATATCTGTTTTTATTGTAATGAATGAGCACCCCAGCTGTTAAACGGCACCTTTGCCAAAATAAAATACCATTAAAGTAGTCCTATTAACTTGATTACTATATTTCAAGTCTTATGAAGTCTTACCATAACTTGGTGTAAAGAACAGAGTCAAATTTAAGTTGGTACTCACAGTAAATGGTCCAGTAGGCTGTTAATTGTTACTGGATCATTGAATCAGCGAGTTGAACTTTAATTAGTGAACAAAATCATTCAGACTGGCTTTGTGAAATGGATCAATTGATTCATTGAAAAGATCAAACCTTACTATTTCTGTAATGAACGCTCATGATTTCAGTGAATAATTAATTTTAAACTTAATTCTCTCTTATATTTTCTCTATATTTTATTGTTTATTAACAGTTTTGTATTTATTAACATTTGAAAATAAAAAAATATATTTATTATTTAATAATATATTATGTACTTTTAATATACTTTGATTTTTATTTTTATTTCAGTTTTAATAATTGTATTACTTCAATTTACTTATTTTACTGCTGTTAGCAACATTTCAGATTTTTTACAAAACTTTCTACTTTTTAAAACATTTTTTAACATCTAGTATTTATATTTTATTCTAGTACAGGTAAGTTGCCTTTAATTTTGTATTTTTCAGTTATCATTTTAGTTTATGGTTTAGTAATTTTGTCATTTTTAAATTTATTTTTAATTGTGTTTTTTTTTTTCATTATAACTGTGCTTTGAAAAATTATTTCTGTTTTAGTTTTAGTACTTGTAATACTTCAAATGTAACTTATTTTCAACAAAGTTGCCAAGGCAACATTTAAAAAAAAATATTTAAGTTTAAGGTAAAAATGAACACAAATGATCTTTAATAGTTTTAGCTCTAGTTTCAGTTAAAAATACCAACACTGATTTCAAATGACGTATGAGGGTGAGTAAATAATGACAGATAAATTAGTATTTTTGGATAAACTGTTTCCTTCACTTCTGAAGAAAATGCATTTCGATTTTTATATTTCTTTTTCACATCTGTGGGCGTTTGAAACTGTTCCCTCATCCATCTGTCTGTTCCTCACAGGGTCCATGCAGGTGTTTTTGCCTCCGGAGGGTCTGGCTAATTTGGGCGAGGCGAACCCAACCCAGGATAACGTGTTCTGCGCCCAGCTGCAGCGCTTTCAGATCAAGAGCATGAACGAGCGGGGCTTGCACAGCTGGCACGCCGAAAACTGCTATAAAAAATTCCCCTTCCTCTGCAAGAGAAGTACGTCCAGCGATGTATTAACAGAAGAACCTTGTTTGATAGCATTCTGGAGTTTTATTCATGCTAGTACTAATGTACTGATATCAATCTGACCGGTTTCTTCACCAGGACAAACGTGTGTGGACATCAGAGACAACGTGGTGAACGAGGGCTATTATTTCACGCCTAAAGGGGACGACCCGTGTCTGAGCTGCACGTGCCACGACGGCGAGCCGGAGATGTGTGTGGCCGCCCTGTGTGAGCGTCCGCAGGGCTGCCAGCATTTCCGCAAGGACCCTAAAGAGTGTTGCAAGTTCACCTGCTTGGATCCCGGTACTGTCACAGTCTCTTCAAAGTTGTTCTTGAATGTAATCCCTGTGTTACATCTGAAGATTAGGGGACAGATATGTATTTAAATTAAGATAAATCTTTAAATGTGCACTATATTTGATTTTGCACCCATTTTTGTGCCCAAGTCTCACCACTAGGTGGAGCTACTCTGCCTCATCTTACTGTAAAATTAGAATCTCATAATTTGTTTGAAGTGGCAAACTATCATTACTTTAATAGACTAAATTAAGGCCCTGTCCACACTAACGCGGTTATTTTTAAAACCGCAGCTTTTTCTACGCGGTTTGGCCGTTCGTCCACACGCAAACGCAGCACCTGGAAACTTTTTCAGGCTTCTGATTGGCCAACATGGCTTTACGGTTGAGATTATATCGCCACCTGTTGGTTTGGTATGCTCTTGACAGTGCTTCATAGCATGCGTTTGCGTTTTCATGTGGACGGTAGGGGTTGAACGACTTCTGATTTTTTGAAGTCGACTTTTATGTGATGAATATAGTCGACTATAGCGACTATAGCGACTATAGTTTGACCAACGACTAGTCGACATCAAGCTTAAAGCGTCATGGCAGAGCATTGAAGTCGACTAGTCGATTAGTCGGTGCAACCCCTAGTGGACGGAGATTTTTTTTAAAACAGAAAAAGGAAAAACTCTGTTTATAAAAATACCCGTGTACGTGTGGACATGGCCTAAGACTTTTTTTTTTTTTACAAATTTTAGCACTAAATGTATTTGTTTCTTAGATTATTTGGACGGCAGAATGTGCTGAAAGTGCAGTCTTGTGATAAAAGTGTAACACATCATTTTCTTTTTATTACTATTTAGTTTTGTTTGTATTACATTCAATATTGCACGAAAAGTATTGCTAAAAGTAGTCAAATCACTTATAACCATTCTATACAATATTTAATATTTGTTTTTTATGCTTCAATTAGTTTATAAATGCCATAATCAAACCATTGGAATCAATTGTGAATCTCTTGAGCACTTCACTCGAGTATTGCTAATTTGAGTGGCAAACTCCTGGAAATTCAACAAATAATAATAAGGTCTGGGGTGAAAGCCATTGTCATTTATTATATTTTATTTTTTAATTTTTAAATAAAAAATATTTATTTACAAATATTATAAAAACATGTTTTATTTAAAAATATTTTCCAAAGAAAATGTCTGTAATGTGTTTCATTGTTTCTGTAGTTATGCTTAGTTGTAAATTTATTTAAGAAAAGTTATTGTAATTTTAGTATTATCTATATGCTAATCTAATTTTTTATTAATGATTTGAATTAGCTTTTATATTTAGATTTTAGAAAGTTTTTCAAAAATTGTCATTTTTATTTACTTATTTGTAAAGCATTTCTATGTGTTTTAATTTATTGTTTTAGTTTTAGTACTTCAGCTTTTTTTATTCGATTAAAATTTTTTCCACTAAATGTTGTGCCTTATGACCAAATATCTATTACGACTGCATATTGTTTCAGTTCCTCGGGTTGTGGTCTGGCAGAGGTAAATCTCATTAGTGTTGTTTGTTTCAGACGGCAGCAGTCTGTTTGACTCGATGGCGAGCGGCATGAGGCTCATCGTGAGCTGCATCTCGTCCTTCCTCATCCTCTCGCTGCTGCTCTTCATGGTGCACAGACTGAGGCAGCGCCGGCGGGAACGCATCGAAACCCTCATTGGAGGAAACCGTAAGGCCCCGTGTGATCATCTGATTATATCAGCACATGTTAAAGTGCTGTTTTTCTGAATCACCTCTGTCTTTCACAGTGCATCATTTTAATCTGGGTCGGAGGGTCCCTGGCTTTGACTACGGGCCGGATGCATTCGGGACGGGCCTGACACCTCTGCACCTCTCTGATGATGGTGAAGGTGGAGCGTTCCACTTCCAGGAGCCTCCGCCCCCTTATGCTGCTTACAAATACCCAGATATCCACCACCCCGACGACCCTCCTCCTTCATATGAGGCCTCCATCAACCCAGACAGCATCCTCTACATGGACCTCAGTATGTCTTTACAAAGATTAACAACAGACGCTGTATTTTTAGGTCTTTTCTATACATATGCAAGTAACTAATGATTTATCATCTTCAAATGAATGATATTTAAAGTCTTTATGGATCACACTCTGGAGCTCTGATCCAAAACCTAGTGAGCTGCTTACCTAGACAACTTTATTATTATTGTTCTGTATTCTAAGATACCTAATAATGGCCAAATTGTAAGGAATCATCATATGTATCTTCTGCAAATAAAGCAAAACCAGAATGCATTTTGCAGTGTATCCCCCGAAAAATACTATGTTGAGAGGAATATCAATTGAAAATATTACATTGCATTTAACACTGATTAAAAAGTCAAATCGATTATAACCATTTTACACAATATTTGTGTATATGTGAATGTTTTGCATGTATTAGAGACATGAAACAACATTAGCTTATAGCAATGCTATAATCAAACTATTGGAATTAATTGTAAATCTCTTTAGCACTTGAATATTGCTAATTTGTGTGGTGAATTCCTGGAAACGGAAAAAAAAAGTCATGGTCATCTATGAGATATTTATTTGAAATTTTAAATAAAGTGTTTTAATATTCATAAACAAACAAATTAATTAGTACATTTTTTAAATTTATTTAAAGAACACTTTGAAGCCATAATTTCTGTCATGCATTTAATTTTTAATTGTTTTTGCAGTTATGCTATACAATTTCAGTATTATTAGTATTATTTATATGCTATTACAGTATTTATTAATATTTTGAATTGGCATTTTTATTTTAGTTGAAGTGTTATTCCTTTTGATATGTGCTTTCTATTTTTAAAATGTCTCTATTTTTATTTTATGTTAAGTAATTACATTTATTCATTTTGAATTTTCAGTTGTTTTTTATGTAATTTATGTAACCTTATTTTAATTATCAAAAACTATTTTTTAACAAATTCTCTATTAAATGCAAAACTTTCTTTTTCTTCAGTTTTAGTTTTGGTAATTGTGGTACTTCAAATTAAAATTATTTTATAATTTTACATAGGCCTGGGCGATAAAACGGTATCGATATTTATCGACAGTACACCTTCGATATCGATAGAAAAATTGTTCGATATAGCGCACGATATAGGCACGTGCTATGAGTGACACAGACAGCTCACACAAACACGAACACATGCTGAAATGAGTGCTGTGCCTGCCTGTGATGAGGAGATTGTGAATAATGAATATTAGTCTAATTTAAAATAAACATTTGCATTTGAATGTTAGGTGTGCATCAGGGCACGTCATCAGTGGCGCGCGAGATGCGGTGATGATGTAAGTGACGTTGTTGCATTTTAATATTTTGTTAGTCTAGCCCACGAGACGCGCCACTGCTGCGTTATTCATTCAAAGGAAGGGAAGCCGTGGCCTAATGGTTAGAGAGTCGGACTCGTAACCCAAAGGTTGTGGGTTCGAGTCTCGTACCGGCAGGGATTGTAGGTGGGGGGAGTGAATGTACAGCGCTCTCTCCCACCTTCAATACCACGACTGAGGTGCCCTCGAGCAAGGCACCGAACCCCCAACTGCTCCCCGGGCGCCGCAGCAAAAATGGCTGCCCACTGCTCCGGGTGTGTGTTCACGGTTTGTGTGTGTTCACTGCTGTGTGTGTGCACTTTGGATGGGATAAATGCAGAGCACTAATTCTGAGTATGTGTCACCATACTTGGCCACATGTCACTTCGCTTCACTTCACAATCTGCATATAAAACATTAGAAATTAGATATTTGTTTCATTTTTATTGTTTGATTGTTAAAACAAAAATATTTGTTTGTCTCAATAAATTGTGTTAATTATAAATAGTGGTTAAATTAAAAAAAAAAAAAAAATCTATTGCTTTTTGTTTTAAAAAAGGTTATAAAAAATGTCAATAATTATCGATACCAAACGATATGAAACATTATATCGTTGATACATTTTTTTAGCTATGTCGCCCAGCCCTAATTTTACATTTACTTGCATGCTTACATATTTTTAATCTAATACTTGTAGTTCGTTTTATTTCAGCTTTATTTCAATCAATGAAAATGATTTCGAATAGTTTTAGTTTTGGTTGACCCTTCGTTCACTTCCTGTTCTCTGCTCAGGACGGACCGGGGTTCCGCTCGCGACTGGTCACATGAGCGGCACGGCTGACTCTCTCCAGAGGGATTTCCCCGAGCCTGCGCTCCCCGCCCCGCCGCCCCTGGAGGAGCGCGAGGACTCCATCGACAGCAGCACCCTGCTGGTGTCTCCAGACACCCCCAGCGAATCAGAGAGCAGCATCACGCAGAGCTCCATGGCAGACTGCAGCGGCCCCTCGCTCAGCACCATGGTGTAGGGTACGTGTCCAGACTGCGCTCTACTACATGTTGGAGGATGTAGGACTCGAGGAAGATTTCCTGTTCAGAGCAAAGACTTCAGACATTAACCAAAAGACGATTGTTTGGGGTTTTTATTCAGCGTTTTTTCAGCTTGAGCGTCACATGTAAATACTTCCGTCAGCCATCGGTTGATGTCGTGGAGGGCCGACAGAGCACCTCTCTCTGAGGTTTACACTGGCATGTGTCGATCACCACACTTTGAACGAATGAACCGGTCGACGAACAGACTTTTTAGGCCTTAGTGGTGTAATCAAGACGACCTGACGTTCTCACTGGAATCGTGTCCCACACACTGACTCTTTCCTGGCACAAAGAAGCTATTTTTCCTTGACTCATTACTGCTCTGTCTAAACTGACCCTTGGGTGGTCGTCTCTGCGGGAAGGATCCGTTTAGACGTGAGCGGTACCATGTTACTAGGAGTTCTGTGACGTCTGGTTTTTACATTTTCTGTCTGTCAGATCAGTAGCACAAACTCAAAAAACGAAGGAAAAAAAAACATTTGATTCTTTTAGATGGAGGTACGAGTTTCAGCCTTTTTTAAGTGTCCTGCTGTGGCATGGTGATGCAAATCCATCGCCTCGTTTTTGGAAAAGAATGTCAGAAGCGTTTGAGAGTCTTTTGGGAGGTGAACTTTGTCGAAAAACGGATTTAGGTGTGATCAACGTCACATTTGCTCAAGTCTCAAAGAGTGAATCTCATGAAAGCTGTGAAGAAATGACCCGTTTTTACCGAAAGAAAAAAATAAGAGATTATATTTTGCATAGAAGCTTATTCAACCATGAATCATTACGTCAAAAATATTCAGTGGTCCACAATATTTCAAACACATTTCGTTTATTTCATGACTGTAATGCTGAAAAAAATTTTTTTAATTAAATTAAAAAATAACGTACTTGTGCATATATATATTAGGGGTGCGATTCGTGGATCGATTCTGCGATTTTCCGAATGCATCGCGATTCTCTCTGGAATCGATTCTGAGCTTAGTTTTTAACAGCAGATGGCGCACTAGTCTAGTTTTTAACCGCACACTTTAAGGCTCATGAAGAAGAGCGCTTGTGCATTCAGCTGAGTAATGTAAGTGGTTAAATGTACTTGCTCTTATGACACAAGATTAATGTAAACACAGCCCACTGTGAACATCCTTCATACATATATATAATATCTTCTGTACTAAATTTTACTTTTTTTTAATTAAAAACCGAAATCTAGGTGTTTTCCATTACTCTGCTTCTGGAATGGGAATGAGCTTATTTCTGCATTACATTAATGAATAATCATTATTATTATTTTCATTGAGGTAATGAGAATTGCAGGGAGGAATATTAATGCAAAATATAACTTTTTTTAATTTATTTTTTTATTTTGTGGTGAAATATGATCTGGTCACTTCTTCATAGATTCATCCAGAAAGTCTGTCACTAATATACATTTTGTATTCCGAATGTAACTCTTACAAAAAAGCTCAACATTTACCTGCGTAATAAATATCCTCACTCATTTTCGCCTCTCAAACTGATCTCAAACCTTGTGCTGAAACAAATCATGGTGTTTGAAATAGATCTTTCTTCTGGTTGAGATCCTGAGTTAGGATTTACGTGTTTAGACTTGCCTACGATGAATTATGAGGTTTGCGTTCATGGTAGGTCTGTCTGTGTCTGTGTCTGTGTGTCTGTGTGTGTGTGTGTGTGTGTGACTTTTTAATTCTCAGCACCAGTAAATCACGTGCTCTCAATATTATTTTGATGTAAATCACCAATAACAACCATTCGTTACTTGACACTAAGTAAATGTTGGCGTATATTTGCACGCATGAGCGCATAAATGTACATGTATGTAAGAGCAAAACGCTTCTCTTTTTTTTTTCTTTTGCGTCATTTACCAATTTACAGACTACTTAATTGCCATTTGGACAAAGTTTTTCCATTGAATGTATAATGTACTCAAATACAAAAGTGTGAGGGAAAGATTTAGATTTGGTCTGCATTGTTGCTCACTGAGTCAAATGCTGATTTTTGTAGAAGGGAATATGATTTATTTATACAACAAAAAGCCCAAACTAAATGACAATCAGGCATTTTGTACAAAGATAAAGATGTTTTTGCACAAGAAAACCACACAGCCCTACTAGTCTGTGTTGGGCTGAAATACAAAGAAAATGAATGTGAAGTCAGCCAGCAGATCCCCTGTTTCTAAAAATCCATCACCAGCGCCAAAATAATTGAGGATAAAGACATTTTTGTCATCCAGGTCAATGTTCTTTGTTTTGTGTTTAATTCCAGGGTTTCATCGGCACAGACATTCCTGTGAACATCAGCTTTTGTTTCTTGTGTGTGTGTTAAATGTGTGGACTGGTCGTGTGTAATGTAAAAGTTGGCATGAATGTTTAGCAGAGCTCCGGTTGCATGTTTTACTCTTTTGCGCATGCAGAGAGGACGTCTCTTCTGCTGTCGTACTCTTCATTTCTGCTATGCTTACAGACGCTCGTCTCCAAACCGAGGTTCGGTACACATCTGACTCCTCTCTTCTCGCCTCTCATTTGCAAACTTTTTTTAATAAAAAAAGTAGATGATTTCTTCTAGATAGACTTTGTGGTGCAACAAGGAAAAAAAGCATCATGAAATATTTGCTGTAGAATGCAACAGTTGGTGAATTTGTCGATTATTCTTGAATTATTTCGTTTTTTTTATGTCATGTACTGCTTTTTTTTTTGTTTTGTCAGAGGGCTTTTGTTTTTAGTTTTTCTCTTAAGTAGATGTACATCTAATCAAATGCCAAATAAATTTTATCCATGAAGGACAGTCGTGTTTGTGTTCCTTTTGTTTCAGATGACGATGGTGGGTTTGTGGGGTTGAGATCTCTGTTATTTGATTCTTTTGAGCGTGATGACTCGAATCCAGAATGACTCCATTGAACGTTTTAATGCCTTCTCAGAGATTTCCCTGTCCGTCGTGGAAATCCATCACTCTTAAATGTCATGTGAGCCGGGGGTGGGGGATCCCCAATGTAAGGAAGCACTCAGTTCTCTGACATGAAAGCCGTTCCTCAAGCCTCCTGGGAATTCTCGCTCCCTGAGAGATTAGACATCGGTGACATAGTTGTGAGATTCCCAAATAAAGGATTTACTGTTTCACAATTGTGACGAGATGCATTGTCTCATAAGAACTACATATTGTACACAGTGGTCCCAAAATGTATTTAGACATTTTAAAATGTCATTGCATTTACATTGTCATTTAACAGATGCTTTTATCCAAAGTGACTTATAATGAGCACAATAGAAGCAATCAAAACCAACAAAAGAGCACTAATATGTAAATGCTGTGACAAGTCTTGGCTACTCTTACCACAGTACATGTAGCAATGTTTTTTTTTTATAGTAAATGGAAAAAAAAAAAGTAGATCGGATAGAAAAAGAACAGAATGCTAGTGTTAGTGCAGTGAATCTCAACCTTTTGGCGTACAGGACCCCAGTCCAATTCAGAACCATCCTCAAGGACCCCCAGAACAACATTGACTCATCTATGTATCATTTGTGTCTTTGTGAGGACCAAATGCAGTCAAGTATAATTCAAGTTAGCTGACTTGTCCAGTATTTGGCCATATCATCAGCTATATTGGATTTTTCTTTCATGGGAACATGTCATGTCAAAATATACAAAATTTATACAAAAATTCATACTTTATATGGACCCCCTGGCCTTACGTCAAGGACCACTAGGGGTCCACGGACCCCTGGTTGAGAAACACTGTGTTAGAGGGTCCTTGTTTTAAATTTTAAAAAGTATTAGAATAGAGAGTGCAAGTGTTAGAGGTCAAGATTTTAAAAGAAATTAAATCATTGCATTAAATATATATTACAAAAAATAGAAAATTATGTGGCATCAAAAAACAAAATCATTCATGCGTAAGCATTCAAAAGTTTGGGCGCGATGTTTTGAAAAGTTGTTTTTGAAAGAAGTCTGTTCTGCTCACCAAGGCAGTTAAGGGTAAAAACAATCATTAAAAAAAAGATTACAATTTAAAACAGCTGTTTTCTATTTTAATAAAATTTCGTTTATTCCTGTGATGAATTTTCAGCATTGTTACTTCAGTATCTTCATTAGTTTTCAGTATCACATGATCTTTCAGAAATCATTCTAATATGCTGATTTGATGCTCAGGAATTTATTATCAATGTTAGAAACAGATGTTTCATAATATTTTTTGCAAACGGTGATCATTTTTTTCAGGATTCTTTGATAAATTGAAAGTATAAAAAGAACAGAATTGGTTTGAAATAGATTTTTTGTAACCTTTTACTGTCACTTTGAATCAATTTAATGCATCCTTGCTGAATAAATTATCAATTTAAAAAAAAAAAATCTGACTTTTTTGGAGCCTCTGTGAACTAATATTTATTATTATTATTCATAATAGTATTATTAAAATAATGTTATTATATATATTAATATTAATTATGGTTGTTGCTGTTGTTCTTATTATTGTTAAAATATTTGTTAGATTAATTCCCCACATTTGATTTGTTAAATATTCCATTTGCATTATTTTATATATAACACAAAATGTCCCTGCTTTGTTCATTGCATATATTCAGTGTTCGTTCTCTGGTTCCTAGTTCAACAAAAGTTATTTGTGTGAGACTGTGGACGAGCGCAGCGGCAGCGACGCGCTCAAATGAGCACAGTCAGAGAAAAAAACCTGACATCCTACCTCCATTCAAGAAGATCACTACTTAAACCCCCGTTTGCTTTGCATTTAGTATTTTTTGTGGTGTAAGACCAGTGGGAACATTTTGATTCATTTTCAGGCCATGATGTTACCTCTGATGCTGATGTTGTCCGTGGTTTCTTTGGCACACAGTGATGATGGTGAGTGACGAATGATTCATTGATACATTCATTGGGCAAAACTTTGAGTTTCCAAAGCTATTATTTTTCACTTTTAATTCTAAGGAATTAGGTTCAATGCCTTTGACTGAAATAAGTGATTTGATGAACTTTGATAAAGACTTTTTTAACTGTTTTCCCTCAGACTTCTGTTATGATGAGGAGCACTGTGGTGAGTTCTTGATCTGTAGCTTGTTCTTTTTGGAATTCATTCAGAAGGACAAAATAATTTTTTCAATGCTACTGTTTGTCATGACGTAAAACAACATTAAACTGTTCTTGGTAGATCCATATGCATGGGGAGATAACTACCCCTCTTGCCATCCCCTTCTGGAGAGCCATCACTCTCCCATCAACCTGGACCATCAGCTGATGAAGAACCAATCTTTAGACTCTCTGCACCTGGAGGGTTTTAATTTGACTCATAAAGGTCAATGGTGGCTGACAAACCAGGGTCACTCTGGTAAGTGAATATTGACCTTTAGAAAGACGTTTTGGACACTTTTATCCCAAGCGTCTTCAAGGTGTAGCTGCATTTTATTGAAGTATTGTCTCTGTGTGTAGTTGTGCTGGAGTTGGGTAACGGTATGCAGGTGAGTGGCGGAGGGCTTCCTGGAACTTACCGCACCATCCAGCTGCATTTCCATTGGGGAAGTGTGTCTTCAAATGGTTCTGAACACACCTTGAACCACCTGAGCTTTCCTATGGAGGTTTGGGGCTTCACGTTGTCCATATCTCTAAGCTGTTTATGATGTGTACACTTTTTGTAATGTTTGTCCATGTTTGTGCGCAGATGCATATAGTCAACATCAAATCCACACATCCAAATTTGACGTCCGCGCTTGAAGACCCAACTGGCCTTGCTGTGCTTGGAGTCTTCATTGATGTAAGATATTGTTTTATCTGAAGTCGTATTTTATTACACCACAGGTTTGTATTTTATCATTATTACTCTTCCACAGGTGACATATTTGCACAATGAAAACTTCCAGTCCATCTCAAATGCACTTCCTTCTGTCGCCTACAAAGGTTAGCTGAGAAAGTAAACTTTGATTAATGTAATCCATTAATTTAATCTAAAAAAAAAAAAAAGTTATGGAAGTCTTTTTCCACAACGGACTAAAACATGTTTCACAATTCTGACATTTTTCTCGCGTTTCTGAGGAAAATATATATGTATGTGTTAGGGCTTAGTTAAATAGATTAATCGTGATTAATTCAATCACATCCAAAATAAAAGTTTGTGTTTACATAATAAATGTGTGTACTGGATATATTTATATGTATATTTTATAAGTACACACAAATACATGTATATATTTAAGACATATTTACATGTATACATATATTTTCATATTTATATAAGATTTATATTGTACATAAATATATATTACATGTACATGTACAATATATACATGTATGTGTGTGTATTTATATACATATAAATATACACAGCACACACACACATTATGTAAACAAAAACCTTTTGGATGCAATAAATCGATTGGACAGCCTAGTTGGTATGCATTTATTTTTCTGAATTGTGAATTGTAAACTTAGTTGCAAAGTGTTAACTCCCAAATGTAAAATCACAATTATTAGAAAAAAATTCAGAATTGTGAGAAAAGAAATCAGAATTGAGAGATATGGATTGGAATTGCAATGGGAAAAAAGTTTTTGAGTTTTGTACACTCTAAAAAATGCTGGGTTAAATACAACCCAGCACTGGGTGAAATATGGACAAACCCAGCAATTGGGTTGTTTTGACCCAGCGGTTGAGTGAAATGTTTAACCCAATCTTCTGGGTAGTAACCCAACCACTGGGTCAAAACAACCCAATAGCTGGGTTTGTCCATATTTTACCCAGCGCTGGGTTGTATTTAACCCAGCATTTTTTTAGTGTATCTTGCGATTCTGGTGTTTTTGTCTCAAAGTTGTGAATTTTGCAATTCTGAGAAAAAAAGTCTGAATTGTGAGATGAAAATTCACAATGAGCTTTTTTTTTCTCACTTTTTTCATAGTTGAAAAGGGCTTCCATTAAAAAACAAAGAATGTGCAGATGTCTAAATATAAGTAAATCTAAATCCTTTCATTTTCTTGTAGGACAAACAAAATCGATCAGACCATTTCCTTTGATGAATCTGTTACCTCAGAACAACCTAACGCAGTATTACCGTTACCACGGCAGCCTCACAACACCACCCTGTTCACAGGTGGTTTTGTGGACTGTGTATGAAGTACCCACCTATATCTCATGGGCTCAGGTAAGAAGTCCGAAATATACTCTGCACAAGTATGTGAACACAAGTGCTTCTAGATACCTTAACATTTTTTTTTTTTTGCATTTCATAATGCAACACAATTTCAGTGTTGCTGCAAGGGGGCGCTATAGTGGTATTAGCATAAACATTCTTCTTTTATGGTTATGGCGAAGCAGGAATCTTGCCAAATTAAAAGTTAAAATTGAATTAAACAGTCGATATGTTTGTAATGAGTAACATATGTTTAATAGCAGACAATTGAGGTACGGCGGTTTGTTACAGCTACAATAACGCTGCACGCAATGACGCACACTTGCAATTTGCATTTGCCTAGTTGCGCAGATTGTGTTGTTGTTTGCAGATCTTACATTTATGCAATTGTTGTACAAATGTATTAAAGATTTTTGTAACATTTGCTTTCTTTTGACAGTTTGAGCTGTTTGTAAAAAGGATATATTCCACGGAGGAATTAGCCGATAAACAGGTTCACCTGCAGAACAACTACAGACATATCCATCCAACCTACGGTCGGCCTGTTTACGCGTCCAAAGATGCTAAGATGCTCACCAATGGAGTTTCCCCTCTTGCCATTTTTTATCTTTTTAATGTTTTTTTATTTATTGGATTTTTAAACATTTAGTGTTTTGCATATTGCAGAACGACAGTATTAAACGTCTACTTCAAATATTGTGTCAAAAACTACTCAGAAAGCATCACTGCTGTTAGCCACTAATAGCCAGTCTAAAGAGCCGTTCACAACAAAAATGATAACGTTCTCTTTATTATAAGCACCCTGCAGTAATGTGTCTGCCACTTTAAATGCTGTGGCTGTTTAAAGACGATGGATTCTGATTGGCTGTCAATAATTTTATGCTTCAACTAGAAAAAAACGTGGTTTCAGCAACCAGCTCCCGCCTCTTTGCCCATTTTCGATTATCCGGGAGTGATGCGCGGTGACGCTCTACCAAGATGGCGACGGCCCGCTCCGCCCACTTTGAGCTTCAAAAACACTTTTCAGAAACCTACGGGACACTACGTCCATGTTTTTATACAGTCTATGGTTCACACCAAGAACGATAACAGCATTCACACCAACGCACGATAAAGTTCTGTTATGTCGTCTGCCGCTTTAAATGCACAAGGTGGATTCTGATTGGATGTCATTCTATCTATCGTTCATTAGCCGGAAATTAAATCGTTACGATTCATTCCAACGATAACGTTCCTCTGTCACTATCGTTCTTGTTTTGGTGGACTTCGCTATTCTCACAGCATTAGAACGAACTTTTTCTAGTCATTGTCCTTTTCTAGTTAAATGGAATTATAATCCATTGTAACTCGCCAAGAACAATTGTGTTAATTATTTGTATATAGAAACAAACTGTAGTTGCGAGTTTGATCACACATCTACAAAAACCCCATGGAGTTTTTCAACCAGACTGCTATCGGATGAGTGATTTTCCTTAGTGGGTATCCCCATTTACGTATTTCCCCTCGTTCATACTGAACTTGATCACTCAAAGCCTTTTCCCCAGTCATACACAAAGGCCACTTAGTGGGAATGATACCGTACAGTAGAAAGATCAAATTGAATAAAGTTTAAGGGGAGTTTATGACCTTGCAAAAGTACATACACCTATGTAGATATACCAAACTTGACGAACCAATGAAGAAGTTATTCTGTGAAAAATACAAATTTACCTCAGGAGACAAACTATTTGATGTATATACAATAGCACAGCTATCAATAGTTTGACTCAAGTGCAAAGTGTTATTTTACAAATGATAAAGTGTTGAAATAAAATTACATTGTTATCGGTGTGTTTTGTTTATTTTGACTGGCTCACACAGACACACAAGCGTGTTGTTGTAGTGCTCATACCCTTCACGTCCTGTTACTGACACTGGGGGCACTGCTCACTCACACAAAGAGCCCTTGTTTCTGTCTCTTTTGAGGTTACTATGTTTGCTAATCTGGCCAGTGAGGTCATTACCTGCTGCTCACTGACAGAACAGTCACTATTTCAGCCTGACGTTCTGAAGTGGACCTCATCAATGACTACTTGCCTATAAATCATTGTACTTTAGCTTAACTGGTAACAATTTCTAAGATAATGTAATATAACAAGAATCATTAGATGTTTTTTT